GGTACTGTGTTAGAGCCCGGCCCCGCATCCTTTTCGTCTTCAGAAGTGGAGCACAACACTTAGCAAAGCTTTTCTCAATCAACATCGATAGACTTTCCGATTAAGAATATTGCCTTAACTCTATGAGGAATACAGGCTGTCCCAAAAAAATTTTAAGTAATTGTTAACTTGGTGTTTATTATAATTTTATTAATTCAAAAACGTAACAATATTTGAAAGTATCATGTTATTGCTTTTTCACTGCATGTTGACTATTGCAACAGTGGCTAAATTGAGAGAAGCTACTGAACATGAATGCACCCGAATACCAAGGGAATTGTTTCATGGTATGGGCGATTCCATTGCTTCGCATTGACAGCAGTGTCGTGATCAAAATGGACGTCAGTTTGAGAACATTCAGTGAAAAAGAATAATACTTGTAAATATCTTTACATTTATTTAGTAATAAAATTATGATAAACACCAATTTTACAAATAGGTAAAATGTGTATACATTTCTTTGGGACACCCTATATGATAGAACAAGGTTCTTTCGGTAGAAGGAAACTTCTTAATTTGGGTAGAATCGTCTTGTGGAAAATCTTAAGTTTCTTTTGGAATTCCGAAAGCATAAACTAAGATGAGTTCTGTGAGAGGGTAATGAAGGGGATTTCTATGTTAAGAAGATTGACTCAGCCTTGGTAGAACTTCAATCTGCAGCGCTCGATGGTGGAATGGACTTCTCAGTCTAGTAATCAGCAGAAGCGACGATTGACAAAATCCGAGGTGTCCTAAATTTTGCAGGACTTAGCTAAGTCCTTTTAAAGATTAATGAGGAAGATGATATTGGACAGTTGAAGTAAATTCTTAATACCAACAACCGTTGGTAGTTCAGGCTACAAGAACGTCCAGTAGTCCTAAATCCCGAGGAAATTTAATTTCCTTAGGCGTCGAAAATGGAGATCAAATTCTAAACGCGCGGATTCTGTCTTTTTATTTCGTTGGCCGCATTTTTCTCCACCGTTTCCTGTTTAACCAGTAGAAGCGTTGCCTTTTATCCGTCTATCCACGTGCCCGCATCTTACCCCAGCTTGTGACCTTTGAACGGACCCGTCATGGCCGCTGACGCTGTCAGCCAGCCTATTACCCGCATTCACACGTTCACCCTTTCCACAGTAGGGACTAGTGACATCGCGCCACTTACCATCCAAGTCTTCGTAAGACGTCTGGATGCCTTCACGCTTGAAGTTTCCCAGCTTCGGAGCACTCACGTCAATAAACAAGGTAGTCCTTCGATTACTCGACGACTGAGCTAATGGTTTCTGTTGGCTCTATCACAATTATAATTTCAATGCCCACCACTGCAACGCCCCGTGTACATACAAGACACATTCGTCAGAAAAACTTCCCTATCGACCACTAAAGTACAAGAACGTGGTCAGTCCAGCCTCTCCCATTCGCTAACTCCGCATTTATGACGGGAGTTCCTGTCGCAATTTTTCCGTGGACCAACCCTTGGATTTCTACTCTGCTAAATTGACACCACCACAAACTCGCATAGCACTTTGGATACAGAACTGCTTGTCATTTATTTAGCTGTTAAACAGTTCCGTAATTTTGTGGAAGGCAGAGTTTTTTTTGTATTTA